AGGCCACCAGGATGCACAAGGAGAGGATGAGTGGGGTGGAGAAGGGGAGATCTTACTGCTAAGTGTGGCCCAGAAGGAGGCGAGATGATGGGGAGATACAAAGAAAGCTCAAACCACTCCTTTAGGAGCACCAGAAGCCACAGCAGGATAGGGGGATTTGTTTCTCTCCAACCATGGGGTGTGGGATGAGTTGCAAAGGGCTCAAAACGCAGCAAGGGGGATTCAGGTTGGATTTCAGCAAAAAAAAAACACAGTGAAGAGCCCGGAGGTGTTATCACAGCCGGGCCACCTGCTTGATTTCTGCTTCTCCAACCCCAGCCCTGGTGCCAGGGGTTCAGCAGCAGGTCCTAAAGCTGCGGTGATGGCTGGGAGCACCAGCGCCCATGCTTGGCAGAGCAGATGGAGCAAAAAAACCACAGCACAGTCCAAAATAAAAATACATATATGAAGGCAAAACAGATTTGGGAGAGCTGCTGTGATGCAGGGGGCAGGGAGGATGCAGGATCAACGAGCTCAGCACTCACAGAGCCCAGGTTGAACATCAGGGGCACAACCACAACCATCAGCAAGGATTTGGCCACTGGGGGTCCGCCTGCCCCATCCTTCCCCTCACAGCAGGATCTGGGCACCAGCATCTGCCCTTTTCTACCTCCTTTCTTTTTATTGCTTCCCCGACCTCCGGCAGCCGGGATAGGGAAAGAAAGAGCTGGGAAAACATCCTGCACCTCCCTCCTTTCATGCCCGGGGAGGAAGGAGCATGGAGCCAGGAGGGGACCGCGTCCCGCCCGCACGAGCATCCTGTTGTACCAGCGGCCGCCCCGCACGCAATCTGAATTGCAGATGGCTTCGGGCGATTCACGGGGACGGAGCCACGTCCTGGACCAGCAGAGGCACAGCTGCTGTTGTCAGAAAAAGCCGAGGCCGGACTGAATTCCCCGTTTGTTTGTGGTTTTTTTTGTGTTTTTTTTTTCCTCCCATTTTGAGGAATGGGGAGCGCGGTGTCGGTACCGGCGCCCAGCCGAGTGGCGCGGGCAGCGGTGTCCCCGGGCTCTCCAGGGCTGACACAGCTGCACGGCCGCTCGATGAGGATGACCCAAATACAGCCTGGTGGGGCGGGCACGGCCGCCTCCCGGCCCCGTTCTCCTTCTCCTGCGGGTGGCTACGCCAGGGGCCGTGGGGTCTCCATCTCCAGGCACCCCGGAGCATCTCGTCCCCTGGGTGCTGGAGAGAAACCTGGCCTCCTCCTGAGGAAAAGAAGAGCCCTGGAGGAGCAGCATCCTGGATGGGGACAAATAGGGTTAATATGCCAAATGAGCGTTAATTAGTCGGGGTTTTATGGCACCTACCTGCTCTCTGCAGCGTTGCGGGCGGGTGGCTCAGGGTAAGGCGGCAGCAGCCAGCGCGCAGCGGTCCCCTCGCTGTCCTGCGGGAAGCACAGGAGGGCATCGGTGTCCCCAAGGGGAGCACAGCATCCCTTGGGGATCAGACACCATCCAGCATCACCCCCAAACTGTCCCCAGTGCTCCCAGGCACAACCGGCTCCCTCCCGCTGCAAATGTGGGCTTGCAGGTGCTGGATACAGAAAATAAATTTATTTATTTTGAACTTCATTTATCATGAAGTTTTTAACTGATAATCTCAGAATCACAAAGCCATCCAGCTTTTAGGATCACCAGACCTTTAGGATCACCAGACCTTTAGGATCACCAGGTCCAGTCATCAGCCCGCCACAAGCCCACATCCACAGCCACCACCCCAAAACCCCATTCTGGGCTGGTTTCGGGGAACCTGCTGCCCCTTTCCCCGCAGCCTCCTGCCCGTTTCTGCCCCCGCTGCCCGATTATTTCCCTGGACGCCTCTGCCCCACGGGGCCTTTTTGCAGTCGCATGGAAGTGAGCCCGAGACTCAGCGCTGCCTCCAAAGGCACGGACACCGAGAAAAACCTCGGCAAGGACAAGGTTCTGGCCCGGGGGCTCCTCGGGGGACACAAGGAGGGGAAGAGCCATGGGGTGGTGGGTGGGCCGCGGGCTGATTTCGGCTGCTCGATGTCATCCCCGAGCGTGGCTCCAGCATTTCTTGGCTCCCCCTGGGACGATTTGGGCTGGGGGCACCTGAAGCGGGTGCCGGGGCGCTGCCTGCCCTCGTTGTCCCTGCCGCCAGCCCCGTGCCACCACCCTGCTCCCTTCCCAGGTGGGATTTGGGGCTGGTGGCCCTGTCATCACCCCAAAAGGAGGTGAAAACACCTCTGCCATCACGCACCTAAAGCCACCGACCCCACATTTGTCCCTTGAAACAGGGGCTGGAGCCCCGTTGGGTGACTTGTCACACGAGTCACCAGGTGTCACTACTTGGGGTCCCCAGGTGTCACCCCAAGCGGCCAGCAGCATCCTGGAGAAGGCAAACCCCAAAAGCCAGGAGGGGATTTGGTTTTGGAGGCGTAATTATTAGAGCCACGGATGCTCCCTTCTGAAGGAGCAAAGGGGAAACATCCCAACAGGTGCCTTTGCTCCCCCTGTTGGGAGGAGCAGCCCCGAGCCTGGCCTTTGGGGTCACCTGCACGCCCCAAAACACCCATGATCTAACACCTGCCCCAAAACCTGCACGTGATCTTTTCTTTTTTTGATTTTTTTTGTTTTTTCTCTTTTTTTTGCCCCCAGGCACATCCCTGCCCTCAATAACCCCAAACCCGCTGCCACCCCCCTGTCCTACTGGTGGCCCCCCACAGCCAGAAAAGGACCAACCCCCCCCCCCAGCTGCTCTCCCCGTATCACCACCACTCCTTTATCCCCCAGCACCTCACGCTGGCATCCCGGCACAGCAGCCGAGGAGCATTTTGGCACGGATAAAGCAGCGCAACGCCCTCCTTGACCCTGGAAAGGGGCACCCCTGCACCTCCTGGCTGCTGCCGCAAGACCCCAAAAACACCCTGCAACCCCCCAAATCCCACCTGGGCGGGCAGCAGGCAGGCTGAGCATGCAACGCTCGCTTTTTTTCCCCCCTCCCCGTGTATTTAGCTGATGAAACCTCCTCTCCTTCACCGAGCCGAGCGCCCAGAGGCCCCGCACGAGCCGCTCGCCACCGTCCCGCTGCCCACCCTTTCGCTTCGCATCAGCACGGGCAGCGAGGCGCTGGGTGCAGCAAGCAGAGGCAGCGGCTAAAAGCAGGTCACCCAGTTATAGGGCAGGTTATTTAGGATTCCCTCCCTGCTCCCACCAGGGAAGGGAGCAGCGGGGTTGCAGAGCCACAGCTCAAGCGCTCCGCGTGACTTTTCCCCCCGCGCGAAGCAGCGGCTTTGTCCCTGCCTGTTCCAGGAGCCTTCGCTTACCTCTCCCGCAGCCTGGATTTGGGGCTGGCAACCCTACAGCTCGGGGTGCCTCGGGGCTCCGGCTGCTGGGCCCGTTTTTCCATCTGGTTTTTCCATCTGGCCGCGGCTCCTCGGATCCCGAGCGGTGGCCGTGGGGACCCTCGGAGCTGGGCGAGCGCCGCAGTCGCGCACCTCCGCGTTTGAACGCTCCGCAGCGTGGGCCCCCTGCGTTTTCCTGCTGCCCTTTCCGCCATCTAGAGGGGAAATTTCCCCACTGCAAACGCAGCCCACGGAACGGGACCGAGCTCTCGGCCCCCCGGGGAAATGTCACGCAGGGCCCCACAGCGCTCGGCAGCGCGCCCTTCGCCACCATGGGGACAGCGGGGATGCTCCCAGGGAGGGGAAATTTTAAGGAAGCGTTTTCCTGGTTATTTAACCAAATCCTAGAAACTTGCCCCTTGTCAGCAGAGAGGATTGCACCCTAGTCTGCAGAAGATATTTAAAATACCCCAGGAGAGGTAAATGATAAGCTAATCGGCAGCTCTTATCTCACTAAATGCACGCAAGGTGCCAAAAGGGCTGCGGGAGGTCAGGTCCCGCCTCACAGGGGGGGACAGAGTTCAGAGAATTAGGAGGGGGCCAGGAGCAGGGAAAAGCAGAGAAATAGGATATAAAGAGGGTAGGAGCCAAGATAATTGAGTTAAAAGCATGAGCCTACCATGGAAAGGCAGTTTTGGTGAGCAAATGAGCACAGCCTGGTGCTGTAGGGTCTGTCTGCTCGTCGTGCACAATGCAGTTGGTCTGGGTTTGTTTTTGGGGGAGGATGGGCAGAAGTAACCACGGGGAGGGTGCCAGCTCTGCAGGATTCACCATTTCTCAAGAATCAAGCCCAAAAAGTGTCCGTGTCATCCAGGAGAGGCTCTGGGACAGCAAGGCCTACGAGTGGAGCCTTGTGCCTGGTGCCTCCCACACTCACCTCTGAGCAACGACGGCTCAGACAGAGACTGATCCTGCCCCTGAGGGCCAGGGCACGACCCGAGGGAGGGATCAAAAGGCTCCAAACTAACCTGAAGGCAGCAAAATTAAGGCTGAACAAAGGCAGGGAAGCAAGGCACAAGGCAAAGCTCTCCCTGGCTCGAGCCAGAGACTAAAATTCATGGATCTCTGCTAGGAAAGCAGATTTATTTCTGCCCTTAAGAGAGCATTTTATGTATCTTCCAAAAAGAACAGGCTGCACAGCTTGGAAATCTTTTTTTTTTCCTTGGTTTGTACATATGTAAGCAACCAAAAACCTACCAGCACCTAAACTGAAGTGGAACATGTGCATTTGAGTTACAACGTCACTGCCAAAGCGACAGAGAAAGAAAAGCTCACAGCACATTTCACCCAGAACGGGGCTGTGGATAGATCCCATCCCACAACCTTTCCCCTTCCCCTCCTGCTTGTTAAACAAACCCAAGCCGTGCCCAGGTGCTGCAAGAGCAACGGAACAGAAAGACAGGAGGCTGGGGATGATCAGAAAAACCTCGAGGAGCTGTGGCCGGGTCTGCACGAGGAAGCAGAGGGAGCAGGAGGCAGCTCCCGACAGCTCTGCCCCTCAGCAGGTGCTGAGAAGTCCCTTCCAGATTGTCTGCGTGAGGTGTGAACCCATGGGAGCACAGCCTGAGCACCCCCAGCGTACAGAAACAACTGAAAGTTGTGGGTTTTTTTCCTTCCTTTTAATAGAAACATCCTAGGGGAACTCTGGGAGGAGGGTCGGCCTAAAGGGGAATGTCTCTTGAAATGCAACGCCGCGATGTGGTTCGGGAATGATAAGTTAAAGTGTCCAAGCGGGCTCAGGACTTCCTGGATTCTTGGGTCTTCTGGATTTCCTGCAAGGAGACTGGGGAAAACAACTCAGCATCCGTCATTCCCGGGAAGCAACGCGGGGTCTGGCAGATCCGAAGAAGGCTGGGCTTGAGGAGCACTGCACATCAGCACGCCCCTGCAGCTTAAACAGGGCACGAGGCAGAAAAAAAACCCAAAACTCACCTTCAGGAGCACCTCCTTCAGTTCGGAATAGGCTTTTTCCAGATCGTCGTTAACGATGACCAAGTCGAACAGGCCGGGCTCTTTACCTAGGGAAGGAGCCAAGGGCAGGGGAGTTAGAGGAGGTCGCGTTCTTTCTCTCCCTGCCTCGCCGCTCGTGCGTGAGCTGAGCTCCTGCAGCCTTTTCCCGTTCTTATTTCAGCCACTGCCAACGCGCTCCTCTGCCCAATGCCCTCGAGGAAGCCGCGATGGGAAGCGATGCAGCACGATGCTCAGATCCAAGCCAGCTCATGCCCGAGCCCTGCCAGCGCACCTCGGGGAGCAGAAGCCAGACGTCCGTGCAGAAAAAGCAGCTCCTCGGTCACCAGCGCCCCCCTCCCTGCTCCCCGGGCACATTGCTCAAAGGCCCCCGGACTTACTCAGCTCCAGATCGACGCGGGCCGCGCTCAAACGCTTCAGTAAACTTTCCTCTGTCTCAGTCTGCCGGTCACGTAGCCTCTTTTCCTAAACCCAATGACAAATGCGTTAAAAAAAAGAGCACCCCGAGTGCTGCGTGCAGAAAACACCCCCATACCGAGAGCCAGGGCTGGGAGCTGGGATTTGTGGGCCTCTCTGCCATGTACTCCTTGCACGGCTTCAGCAAGTGGCACTTGTGCATCTGCATCCCCTTCTGAACCACGTCGGTGGTTCCATTCTGCCAGAGGTACAGCGTGATCGGTATTTTATAGGGCCACAGGAGGCCACAAGGTGTATAGGAACCCCAATGCTGCAGAACCAGCCCCCTTAGGGTTAAATTCAGTAGCTGGAAGCAGGTCTGAGCACAAAACCTCCCCACCTTAAGCACACCCAACGCGTTTACAGCCTGGCCGTGCTGTAACAGAGCCTGAAACCAACACAAGAAATCTCACTTCAGCGTGGAAACCGTGCAGGAGGGGCCCCAAACCCAGGGCACGGGAAGGTTTATCACTGGGGTGAGGGCCTGAAGAGTCAAACCGAGCAGGAGAGGAGCGTGCTTGGAAACACTTCCCTGCCCCTGGCTGTGCAGCCCTTAAAATATGAAGATAAATCAACGTGGAGATAAATCAAGAAGGGGGGAAACTGCTCGGGGGACGTGGCTTGAGAGCAAGGCGCCGATTACCTCTAACCGCTACCGGCAAGGGAAGGCAGCCGCTCACCAGGACGTCCATGGACGGGGGCTGCACGGAGATGTAGATGGGGTTCAGGTCCGTTCTCTTGATGTTCTTCACGCCCTGGATGTCGACGTCGAGGACGCAGATCTGGTTCTGGGCCTGCACAGCCTGCACCGCGGCTTTGCTGGGGACAAAACGGATGGGGAAGGGGTCAGAGCCTCCAGAACCAGCGCTGGGGGCTTGGTTTCCCCAACAGCAGCTCTGCCACGCTCCTGCTGCAAGCACTTCGCCGAGAGCCAGCAGCTCCCAGTGCCCTGAGAAAGAAACCCCAACACCTCCCCTCTGCCCGCAGCATCTAAGTTAAATAAGTCCTGGCTCCTACAGGAGCCTTTCAGGGGGCTCTGTCCTTAAAGAAATTCATTTTGGGCTTTTAAATGTTATTAGCTCGTGAGACTTCGTGGCGTTTCATCACCAAGATCTACTCTTCCAAAATTACCATTACCAGGCAGAGAAAAGCCAAACCACGTTCCTGCTCTCCTGTGCTGCCTCCTCATCACTGACCAAATCGTCTGAGATGCAGACGAGCACGTGTACCCCTTGCCCCTCTCTGCTTTGCAACCCAAACCCCAACATAATTTAGTTTTTATTTTTGGAAGGCGTTCAGGTCTCTGATTCCCTCCTAAGAACTCCCAATCCTGTCAGCCCTTTCCGCCCAAGCTTGATTAAACACCGAAATCTGCAAATTTCACAGAAATCAGCCCCAGAAAGGAGCCATCCCCACACCCACCCTGATGAAAAGAGCCCCGCGACCAACTCGGACCGGGTCAGACATCGGGGAGCTGCCACCTCCTCCGCGTGGCAGCCGAGAGGATTAAGCAGGGCAGGCAGGAAGGCAGCCAGTCCTACGCAGGATGTACCCAGGGATTAAGGAGGCTGAACTTGGCTTCTCCTTGGTGCCGGGTGTTTGAGGCACAGGGAGCTGCCAGGTTGGGTTCCTCTTGCACAAAAAAGGCACATTCAGGCCCTTAACAAATGCAAATCTTCCCAAAACATATTTCAGGTGACTTTAAATTCAACTAAGCATCCCGGGACACATTTACCTTTCCTTAGCAGGTCCCAGGCTGTAGCGCCACAGTTTCCTCCCAATAATTATGTAAGATATCTGACTTCTAATTAACATTGCAGCTTAACGTTTTATTGATCGCCAGCTCCGATGCCGGGAGCAATGCTATTCTAAAATCCATCCAACTCTTTAACTCTAGTCAAGAGTGGCACGCAAGGCATCTATTTACGAGTCTGCAAGCACTTGGAAAATATTAAGCAGTGCAAATAGATTGCGAAAACTGCCCCTCTGCAAGGAAGCGTTCAGCACACGGACGACTTCAGCAGCCCTACAGCCCACAGAGGATCTGATAAGGCAGCGAGGAGCTAATTATAGCGGGGTAATTCTTTGCAGGATTTAACTTTGCAGTCTAATGATGAGCAAATCAATCCGACGAGTGCCTCGCTACCAAAAGGAAAGGCTTCATTACAGCAGGAATCTGTGCTTTGGGGAAAAATCGGTGTCATTAAGTTAAAATTTCTTCTCCTTCACCCTAACCTCAGCTCCACCTGGGTTTGGCAGTGAGCACCCGAATCGCGTACCTTGTCCCGTACATATTTCCAGAGAACTCTGCGTGCTCGAGGAACTCCCCAGCATCGATTTCTTTCTTCATTTCCTCTCGGGTCACAAAGTGGTAATCTGGATGGGACAAAGAGGAAAAACACCCAGGAATTAACAATTTTGAAGGTAAGGATAATCTTTACCTTCAAAAATGCAGGGATGGGTGCTCAGGGGAGAAGCACCTCAAAACCTTCTTAGTGCAATGCTGGCTGTCTGTAGATATCTACTCTCTAATTAACATTTACAGCATCCCCTCACCACCCCAACCAACCAACACCTACTCAAACTATTCTGGAACTCCGCGGGGCCAGACGTGTTGCAGTGCCCCCTTTTCCACGCGCCATCCCCCTCCTGGTGCAGTGAGAAACCCGTCTGCAAGCTTGAAAGCCACTACGACGGGACTGCCACAGCCCTTGGTGGGAAAACATTTATGATTAAAGACTCGGATGGGAATGAGAGAGACTGGGATATAAAAGGGAAGATGAAATATAAACAAACATCAGCGTCTCTCTACCTTTTGTTATTTTTTTCCCCTTTCACTTCAGAGTGAAAGCTGCCTAAGCGCAAGCCTCATTTGATCCTTCCCTTTTTGTTTCTTCTCTCCGCATCTGGCACACGCTGCGGAGCAGCAGTGACTACGGTCTCGTGGCCAGCGAGATCAAAACCAAAAGTAAACCCTTCCAAATGTGTCACTGCTGAATGCTCGCTCCTCCTGCCTGCAGAAACGCACCCCATAAACACATTTGTAGGGCTACCTCATCTGCCCATCGGGATTTGGGCATTTCACACGAAAATTTAGGAGTGTTTGGGGCAGCAAGGTGGTGAATCGGGCAAGGCACTGATCCGTACCACACTCACCTTTGCCATTCACTTCTCCAGGTCTCGGCTGCCGCGTCGTATCTGCAAGAAACGGCCTTGATAATTGTGCAGGCTGACAAGGAAGTCAGAGTACCAAAGAAATAAAAGCACACGCAGCAGATTAGCCCAACCACGCAGGGAGCTGCTCCTCTGTTTAAAATGATCAAAGGTTAGGAATCAGCCAGGGTAAAGCACCACGGCATCGTCAGTCGGCCTTTAATTGGAGAATCCTAGATAATCTGAAAGCAATCAGCTGAGATCGTTAGGGGCTGAGCTGTCAATTTGGGATTTATGAGGCTGGGCTAGGTTTTCTGCTCTGCTACAGACCCTCTGTGTGATCCTAAACACATTACTCAAGTCCCTGCCTCGGTTTAGGGGAATAAGTCATTTGGAGTTGTATTATTTTAAAATCATGCCCACAATAAGGCGATGATCACCTCGAGGTTTGTATAAAGCACCAACTACCAAGGTGTGAGCTGCCTCCAGAGATTTAGGGAAAAATATATTCCACGAGACAACCCTGAAGGAGAAAAGGTTTAATTTGGAGTGAATTCTTTAGTGAGATATTCAGTTGAATTAAAAAAATAGAATGAAATTAAATATCTTTCATTCAGTGTAAAGTTTTTTCTACCTCCAGTACCATTAAATTCTTTCACAATCCAGGATTTGCTCTTTTATGATTGAATGAATCTGGATTTCACAGATCTGGAGGCAAGGATTCCACCTGCGGCACCTGAAGGATTAGGGCAGTAAAAAGCATTTTGAAGCACACGTAATGCCTTGCAGAGCCCCAGGGAAAATCAGGTGAATGAGCCGTGAGTGGCTGAATAATCTTCAAGGTGTCACCCGAGACAAAGGAAACAATATTTTGGGCAAGCTGCCCAAAGAAAATCCTGTTCCGTGCTGTGATCAGAGAGCACAGCGGAATTGGTGACCCCAAGGTGTGTCATTATCACCCTACAGCCCTTACAAAACATCCCAGAGGGCACCATGCTGTTTTATAGGATTCAGCAGGAGGGGAAGGGGGTTTTATGGTGCTTCTCCACATCTTCCATGGCTGGGGGAAGATTTCTCCTGGGTTCTTGCCAAATGGCTGCAGAGCAACGGCAAAAGGACTGGGTATAATGGTGGGGCAAAGTGCTTCGTTGATTATCCCAATACCAAGACTCAGCCAGCCCTGATCCCACTATTTGTGGGACAGGATCGCAGCTACAGACTCAGGCTCTGGGCTAGCGATCCCAAAATCTCCTACCCCAAACCCTCACTGATACTCACGGGAGACACTGAAGCCGAAGATGTTCTCATAATCCTTAAACAGTTTCTTTATCAAGGTGCTTTTTCCTGCACCCGACGGGCCGCTCAGAACCACTGGCCTTGGTCCCTGCATGGCTGGAAAGAGACAAAAAAAAACACAGAGCTGCTTAGAAAAACACAGGATAAAACACAGGGGACCTGCGGGCTGCCACCCACCCACAGCCTGTAACCCAGAGGCGTCACCACGAGCAGGACGAATCCCACGGCTCTGCTTTCCCCAAGCAGCAAAACCCTGAAAAAGGCAAAATTTTTAAACCTCGCCGGCTGTGTCCGGCCCCGGGAGCCTTTCTGCTACTAATTAGATCATGGCAAGGGCAGCCTGACCTCCCAGATCACTGCTGAAGCATCCTTAAGCCAAGCATGGCCTCTTACAGAACCGGCCACGGCCCTGCTGCCTAATCCAGCCTCGCTGCCTCCCTGACCCCAGCCCGTGGGTGCCGGATGCCTCCTTATCCCTAAATCCCCTTGGCATGGCTCTGTGGTATCACAGGCAGCTCTCAAGCCAGCAAATTAGGGGAGTTTTTCCCCCTTTTCCTGAGGGATCTCGGTGCTTGCCTGACCTGAGCTTATCCAGAGTGAGAGGAAGAGGTTGGCGTGGTCATAAACCCACCCGAGTTCAATCGCTGGACAAAAGGGACTTGCTTTTGGGGATTTTTTTTTTGGGGTGCTGCAGGATTGGCCCTTCTGTGCGTTATTATATTGCTGGTTTAGGCTTTTTCATCCGAAAAAAAAATCATCAAGGCTGGGCAAACCTTTAAGAAGCGCCTGTGGGCATGGCCCAGCGCTGTCCTTCCCTTCGCTCCTTGGCAGTTCCCAAAGATCCGAGAATTATCCCCAAATATCCACAAGGATCACTGAGTCCAAGTCCTGAAATCACAGCTTTTCCCTAAATGCTCAGCCCCTGAAGCAGCACATCCTCTGCACCTCCCCACACCCCTCCTACCTGCCCAAATCTCCTCTCCCTGCTTCTTCCCCTCGCCATAAATCACCCAGGGGAGCACTGGGGACCCAGTTTATCCTCCCAGTCACTCCAGTATGCCCCAGACACGGCTTCTCGTGTGGCACCACTGCCGGGCATCCCTACCTCGTCCTTCTGCTCCCTTCCAGCTCCTCACGATGGGCTCGCGGGCAGGACCCGGGCTGTGTGTGAGCTGTTAATCGCCCCGGGATGATTTTAAGACGGCCGAGGAAGACCGCCCGCTGCTCTTTAATCTTCTCTCCTGGCTTCTGCTCTGGCAGCTGGCCAAAAGCAGGTCCGGCTGGGGCAGAGCAGCGAGCCTTGCGTCCTCAGGGAACGCCAAACCTGGCTAACCACGACCTAGGGCTCCTTCTTTGCTGTTTCTAGGAGCCGCCTCTAAATCCTGAGGCTCCCCAAATCCTCAGTGGACGGGAACCGACTGCCCCAAGCTCTTGTTTCAGAGGGTCTTGGCTCCGCAGCACCCCTTTCCATCACAAACCTCGTCTCTGCCCAGCCAGGGCTCACGCCAAGCACCTCTTTGGGAAAAAAACCTGAGAATAACCCACAGGACTCACAGATGTCCCCTCCTGCCTCCTCCGTTGCTGCAGAGGAAAACACGAGGTAAATTACAGCAAAAAAAATGCGATTTCTACCACCAGACAAAGGAACCTGGCAGCAAACACCCAGCTGGCAAGCTGGGAACCGGGGCCAGCAGGCGGCAAAAATAGCTTTTGGGGCTGGCCTGGCACAGCAAAGCCCCCTGCCCCTACGTGGCTGCAGCTGTGAGAATTCCAGAGACGCTTTGAGCAGAAATTGAATTTGTTTTTTTCCCCCCTCTCCGCTCAGATTTTGACGTTTTCAGTGGGTGTGAGGTGAGGAGAGGGGAAAGCAGCGGGCAGGGAGCTGCCATCAGGGTGAGGAGCATCTCTCGGGCCAGCCCTGCTTCCTAAAAACCACCCCAAATTTCAGCTGGCAGGCGGCACGGAGACAGCAAGGCCCAGGACAGACATCCCAAGAGTTAAATGAAATTAATGCCGATTAGCTGGCAGCCCGTAAGGAGGAGGCAAAGCCCCCCGGCCGAGTCGAAAAGCAGCTTACAGGACAGTTTCTCTGGAGCCCTGGGAAAGGTCTCCTGGATTAGGGATGTAAAATGTAAACCTGTTCCCTATTTTTAGCAGGTTCTTCAGAGGTGCAACTCTGACTCTGTAAGCGTTGGGACGCTTCCTGAGCGGGCAGCGACAGCTCAAGGCTCACCACATCCAGCCGGGGAGCCCCAGGGGCGTTGTAGGGGAACCCTTCCATGCACTGGGACAGGTTTCCATCAATGGGATGCTCACACAGGCCGTGGTCACTCATCCAGCCCCTCAGGCCCTCAAGGGGACCTCACAGGATCCCCCCCAGCCCCTCAGAGCAACCCCCAGACCCTCATTGCCCACCCCTGGACCTTCACAGGACCCCTTCACCCCACAGGGGCCTTACAGGATCCCAACAGCCCCTTACAGCCCCCCCCACAAAAAAACACCCTCAAATGACCTTCACAGCCCCCCCAGACCCTCACAGGACCCTCAAAAGACCCACTCAGTTCCTTAGAATCCCCCTCAGCATCCCCCCCAGGCCCTCACAGGATCCTCACAGCACCCCCCAGCCCTTGACAGGACCCCCCCAGCCCCTCACAGGGACCTTACAGGACCCCAGCAGCCCCTCACGGTCCCCACCCCACCAAAACTCCTCAAAGGACCCTCACAAGGACCTTCAGAGCCCCTCACAGGACCCCCAGCCACCCACAGGACCCCAGAAGCCCCTCATAGGATCTTCACAGTACCCCCCGGCCCTTCCCAGGACCCCTCAGCCCCTCACAGGGACCTTACAGGACCCCAGCAGACCCTAACAGCTCCTCAAATGACCCTCAAAAGCCCCACAAGACCCCAAAAGCCGCCCCCAGCCCCTCTCAGCCCCTGACAGGAACCCCCTGCTTCCTCACAACCCCCAAGCCCCTCACAGAGACCTCACAGGACCCCAGCAGCCCCTCAAATGACCCCCACAGCCCCTCACAGACACCTCACAGGATCCCAGCCCCTCACAGGACCCCAGAAACCCCTCATAGGACCCCAAGGTTCCTCAGAGACTCCTCTAGTGACCCCCTCAGCCCCTCACAGGCTCCTCACAGCATCCCCGGCCCCTCACAGCCCCCCTCAGCCCCTCACAGCCCCCCAGCCCCTCACAGAGACCTCACAGGACCCCAGCAGCTCCTCAAATGACCCTCACAGCCCCCCCAGCCCCTCACAGGGACCCTACAGGACCCCAAAAGCCCCTGACAGGAAGCCCCTGGTCCCTTACAACCCCCCAGCCCCTCACAGAACCCCTCAGCACCTCATAACCGCCCGATCCCCTCACAGGACCCCCAGCCCCTCAAACGACCCTCACAGCCCCTCCAGCCCCTCACAAGACCTCAAAACCCCTCACAGGACCCCCCCGTCCCCCCTCACCCGCCGCCGCCCGGCCGAAGGCTCCGCGCAGCCGCCGCCAGCTCATGAGGGGAAGGGGGGGGGGCGGGAAGCGGCACCGGGAGGGGCGTGGCCTGCGCCTCAGCGAGGCCACGCCCCCTCTGAGCCAGGCCACGCCCACCTCGCTGAGGCCACGCCCACCCTCGCCGAGGCCACGCCCCCTCGCCCCGGCGCGCGGGGATAAGGGGGAAGGAGGCGGAGGTCGGGGGGGGGTGGGCACGTGAGCGGGGCGAACCACTGAGGGGGGGGGGTGAAGCGCGGGGAGGGGAGCGCGGGGCAAACCATTGTGCGGGTGCGCGGGGGGTGGAGCGCGAGTGCGAGCGCCGCGGGCGCCATTTTGGAGGCTTCTGGGCGTGAGGGCGCGGGCGCCATCTTGAGGCTGAGGGGCGGCGGGGTCTGGGGGCACGGGTGAGGGTTAAACCCGTCGCTGAGGTGTTAATAGGGCTCAGTAGGGCTTTATCTGTGCCTGTGATCGCCGTTTTGGTCCTTAGGTTGTGTGAGGGAGCGGCACCGCATCCCCTCGCACCTCAATGCTGTGCCTGAGCCTGGCCCAGGCTGGGATGGCGGCCCTGAGGAGCTCGCTGAGGTAAAAGTGGAGCCCTCAGCCCCCCTCGCGGCTCTCAGCAGGGCTGGTGCTGACCTGTTGTGTCCCCTTTACCTCCCCAGCCTCGTGCCAGCCTCGCTGCCTGCACACCGCCTGCAGCCTGGCCAACTCCAACCGGGTGGCTGTGTCCCGCCTGCAGCGCCAGGCGTACGGCCGCCAGTACCCGCTGCTGCTGGTCAAGACAGACGGTTCCACCGTCCACATCCGCTACAAGGAGCCCAAGAAAATCCTCATGGTAAGGCGCTCGCCTCCCCAGGACCACTTATTGAGGAACGCTGTGGCAACTGTTTATTGATTTGAAGATCAAAACCAGCTTTTGGATGCTCTGATGCTTCCCAATGTCACTTTTTAATGTCTTTTTTTCCCCGCAGTTGCCCCTAGACAGCAACACGCTGCCCGAGGCGGAGAGGAAGGCCCGGCTGCGGCGCCAGTTCCCCACCAAACTGAGGGCCAAGGAGGAGGAGGACGCCTTCGACAAGCTGGACATGGAGAAATACAAGAAATTCTGGAAGAAATGACAGCGTGAAGCCCTCCTCACAGCGTGAGGCAGCGCCTCGGGGGGGATCACTCCTGCTGCGACGGGGCGGCTGATGGACTGTGACCTAGCAGCGACAAGGAAAAATATAATAATAATATTTTGTTGTGGAGAATTTTGGGCTGGTTTTGCCTTATTTCTCTCCCTCAGGGGGAGCTCCCCCCGCCGTGGTACAGCCCGATCCCCCCCGCCTTTATCTCCCTGGTGGTGGAACCCGGGCGGGGCTGCGGGGTGAGCGGGGCCTGAGCGGCGCGGGAGGTGCGTGGGGGTGGAGGAGAGGAGGGGGGACACCGGGAATAGAGGGGGGGGATCCGGGCCCTGCCACTGCCTCCAAGCCCCCAGCGCCTTGCTGCTGGGGCTGCAGCCCCTCTTGGGTCTCCTCGCTGGGCGTGGGGGGCTTCTGGGCTTTGCTGACCCCCCCCCCCAACTCGTGTAACCGCCCCCCCCCCCGAGCACTGCGTCCCCCTCCCAGCCAACGCAGAACCCCCCCCACTTTGCCCTCCCTCTGGGTTTTCTCCCTGATCTTTGCACGCAGGCTTTTGGGGCTTTTTTGGGGGGGGTATCCTTGCTTTAAGCCTCCCCCCTCCCCTCAATTATGGGGTGTGTGTGGGGGGGTGAAACAACGGGGGCTGACTCTTGCAGCGCGCCCCCGGCACCATGTTCGGCTCGTCCCGCGGCGGCGTGCGGGGGGGCCAGGACCAGTTCAGCTGGGAGGACGTCAAAACGGACAAACAGAGGGAAAACTACCTGGGTAAGGATCCCCCACACCACGTGGGGGGGTGTCGGGGAGAATAAAAAGGGGGAAAAACGCTTTGTGCCCCCCCCCATACTAATTTGTGTCCCCGCAGGAAACTCCCTGATGGCCCCGGTGGGCCGCTGGCAGAAGGGCAAGGACCTGACGTGGTACGCCAAGAGCAAGAAGGAGGCCACCCCGCTGTCCCGCGAGGAGGAGCTGGCTGCTGTCCGCCTGGCCGAGCAGGAGGCCATGATGGCAGCCCTGTGAGTTCCCCCCTCCTTGCAGCCCCCCCCCCAAAAAAAAAAAAACCCTTGGGGCACCCCCCGGCACCCTTTGTCCCTTTATTTTTTGTCGTAGGGGCTACAAGAACGTGAAGAGGCAGCCGACGGGGCTCAGCAAGGAGGTGAGGGGGTCCCCACGCCGTCCCTACAGGTTGGGGTGTCCCCCACAGCTCTTTTTTATTTTTTTTTGGGGTGGGGGGGACACACGACTCGGTGCTCTCCCCTGCAGGACCTGGCCGAGGTGTGCAAGCGGGACGGCACGGAGCGAGCTGAGAAGGACGTGGACCGGGTGGTGGGCTTGGGCAGCTCCAGGTGGGCACCGAGACGCCGCCTCTCAGAGCGGTTTTATCTATTTTTTTTTATCGTTATCATCATTTTTCACGTTTATTTATTATTTTTATCATCATTTTTCATGCTTCCGTCCCCAGCGGCAGCGCCGGCCGGGTGATGCTCTCCAAGGAGGACAAGGAGGCGGCCAAGATGGGGCTCTCCGTCTTCACGGTACGACGACAGGTGACAGATGCAGGCGTTTCAACTTGATCCCGAAGTTAAATTCCCCCTTTTAAGGGAAAAAGCGCCTGTTTTGGGTAATTCAGAGCTTTGGGCAAGTCCCGTGGACTCACCCCGTGTTTCTTTCTCTCCAACCTCCAGCATCAGAAGGTCCCCGGCAGTCCCGAGGCGTCCGGCTCCAAGAGGAAGCAGGACAAGGAGGAGAAGGCGGAGGAGAAGCGGTGAGGGCTGGGGACATCCCAGTGCCACCCGAGAATCCCCAAAGCTCTGGGAATCCACCCCCAAAACCCTCTGCTTTGACCCCAAAAGCCCTTTTTTTCCCTGCAGGCATCTCCTTTACCAGGGGGACCTGCAGGGGGAGTGCCTGGAGGGAGGGTTGGGGACGGGTTTTGGGGAGAGGAAGGGATTGGAGGGACATGGCCGATTTCACCCTGACCCCTGCAGGACGGAGAGCGGCAAGAAAGCCAAAAAGGAAAAGAAGAAAAAGAAAAAGAAAAAACACAAGAAGGAGAAGAAAAAGGACAAACACCACAAGCGGGCGGCCTCCCCTTCCTCCTCCTCCTCCTCTCCGGACCGCGACGAGAGGTAACGGGGACGCAGCGGGGCCCTGGGGTGTCCCTGATGGGCATCCCCAGCTCTGACCTCCCCCCTGTCCCCGCAGACACCACCGCAGGAAAGCCCAGGAGCGCCCTGAGGTGTCAAGACAGCGGCGCTGCCACGACACCACGGACTCCTCCTCCTCCTCTTCCTCCTCCAGCAGCGAGGAAGGCTCGGGCAGGAGCCCCTCGCGCCGCCCGGCCCGCAGGAGGGCACCATCCCCGCGCCACAAGGGCAGGAAGAGGAGCAGGAGCCGCTCTCCCCGCTCCCGCAGCAGGGCCAGGCAACGCCACGACACCGATTTGGATGACTGAGGGGTTTGGGGGGGGGGGAGAAACGCCGGAGATTTTCTATTTTTTAAGGTTATTCTGGAAATTAAAGCCACGGCTTTGCTGGCACAGCCCGCTCGGGGACTCCGGCACGGGAAAGGGGGAGAATGGTGGAAAAAAAGGAGGAAAACACCCAGCGGGGGGACCCAGACGCCCTTTTCCTTCTCCACGGGTCCGTTACCCCAAATTAAAACCCCACAGGCCTGGTGTAGAACTGGAAGCAGCACACGCGTCTTGGGGTTACAGAGAGGGGATTTGGGTGCAGTTACTGTGGTTTTTTAATCTTTTTTTTTTTTTTTTCCCTTTTGATGTCTTCGAGTGCTGGCAAAGCCTTTTTTAAGTTTACGAGCTGCAAAATAAAGGTGAAGCGGAGGCCGAGCGGGCCCTCTGATGCTGTGGGTGCTCGTTGGGGGTGCCCCAAGCAGGCTGCTGCTAGGAGACCCCCCACCCCGACCCTAAATTATTTGATTTGGGGAGGTTCAGGCACAAGCCACCACCTTCCCAGCAAAGGGAAAAAAAATGGAGTGAGGGACGTGCCTTTTTTTGGCTGAGAAACAACCTCTTTGGTTAAAAAGGAAACTACACAAATTACAAATACTCCCTCTGAGGGGGAGGAGGAGCGGGATGGGGTCGGGGCGTTTTACCCCTGCAAGATTTTAAACCTCAGACCCCAACCAAGGGGGATTTACGTGAATCTGTGGGTTTTAAATCAAATCCTGGTTGCTGGGGAAGGGCTCATCTCAACAAGGGCCTCGTTTGTTTAATTAACGCTGCTTTTTCTTCTGCCCAGGACGGGGCTTTGGGGGCAAAAGCCCCGCGCCCGGTGCTGTTGGCAGCATTTTGGGGGCTTCGTCATCCTAGTGGGGTGCTGGTACGGGGTGGGACCAGCCTCGTGTGCACAAGGGGTGCATTGAGCACAGGGGACACGCGGTGGGTGATAAAGCCCTTCTGTCCCTGCTGCCACCGCTTAACCCTGCTGCTGCTGCGGGATTCTGCATCCTGAGATGCTTTTTGGGGTGGAATCCGTATCCCAAGCCTGTTTTTTCTATGGGATCGCTCATTTGAGGTCACCCTGCTGGGGTTTTTGGGGTCTGGGTGGTGAATGGTGCCTGCTGGGGGTACCCTGATGCAGGGTGGGGATGGTACAACGTGGCCACGCTGCCTGGGGAGGGTTAACAGGAACACGGTCCTGGGAGCTCCGGGCTGAAAAGGGAACTTAAAACCCCAAAGGCTGCACAGATCCCAGCGTGAGGCCCCACAGGCTGGGGTGGAAAGGGGGTGCAGGAGCCTCAGCCTGTCCCCGCTCGTTCAAATCTGCCTCCTCCCTGGCCAAAGGGGTGGCTGCAGTCCCTGGGGGACTGATTCCAACTCCCCCAGCTCTGATAACATCAGCACCTTTTATCAGTGCCCTCCTCTTCCTCCTCCAGGGCCCTTCAGGTTTTTTTTAGGGCCAAGCAGCCCTGAATACCTGTCCTGCCCAGCAGGGCGTGCGGAGATCGTGATTCAGAGCTCCAAATCCCAGGTGGGACGAAGAGCTTTGGAGGAATAACCTGACTTACCGGAGTTTTGTAATTCCCTGGCAGTGTTTGCCCAACGCTGTTTACACTTCACCACCGAGAACACAGCCAGAGCTGAGCCCAGAATAAACCTGGAGCTGGGCAGAGCAACCACAGCACTCAAAACCTGTAACAGGGCAGCCAGGACCAGAACGAGCCTGGAGAAGGCAGGAGGGCAGTCCCAGAGCAGGCTGTGGAAGGGAAAAAAGGAGTTTTAAATAAAAGGCAGACTTTGTCCCCAGGGCAGATCAGCCCCAGAGCTTATTGTTAAGGAAGAAGCTGCTGGGGGCTGCTCAGGAAGCTCAACAGATGACCCCAAAGGACGCGAGAAGCAGACGACCACCATCAGGCACCAGGATGCACAAGACTGCCGCCCGCTTCCTCACTTAAAAAAGGAAAAAAAAAGGTAAATATGAGATCATAAGTTTTTGTGGAGCTTGAAATGTGGTTCCAGTTCCATTTAGCCCTCAGCCAAGCCTAAAAGGGGTGATACAAAACGACGTGATACCAGTGCAAGTTTCATGAAACTTTTTATTCAACAAGTATTTCATTATGATTCTGCCAAGATGATCAAATGAACAGCCAGGCATAAAAAACATGAAATAGTTAAGAGATTTTATTCTAATAGCTTTAATTACAGTGCTTGTTTGTCGAAATGAAAACTGAAAACAAGTATACAAAACAGTTGATTACTAATCGTGTATTGAAAGCAATAAAGGTTTCCACAACACTAAACAAACCAGTTCTGATAGTTCCTCAAGTTAAAGTTTTAACAGCTCCAGCTTCTTCAGTGTTTATCAAAATACAAAAGAAAAAGTAAAGAGGTCGTTTTTTTTTTCGGATGGCAAATCTGAACCTTGCAGTATGAGGGATGCCACGGGTTTTCACACATATACAGATATGGGATTGTTCCAAAATGGGATTGAGTACTTCTAGAGTGGAATGACTCTCCTAACTCTCATGCTTTTTTTTTTTTTTGTTTTCCCCTAGACACTATACATAGATGTTTGGTGTTTCTCATGGCAATTCTTACTTAAGTACAGTACTTTCCGACTATAGAGCTTAGGACTAGTACAGGCTGTGCTTTCTGTGGAAAAGTTTGCCTTCTGGAGTGGTTTACACGCAAGAAAAGTACAAAACACTTTTTGACAAATACAACAGGCTAAAAAAAATGTGACTTCCAGAAATGATTCAAGTTCAATGGAAGTGGTAAATCTCACCTGAACCCAAAAGTCAGAAGTTTAGGATGAGTCTGTGTGCTCAGCTAAACCAGGTCCGACAAATCTTTTAACGAGCAGGAACAAACACGAGCACGTCGGATGAGCTACAGAAAGCGCCAGAGATCTGCTAGCTACGAGCTGTGCTTTGACCAGGTGAAGCCAGCCGGGTGTCAAATCGCTGTCTCACCGGTTCAAAAGAATCAAGAGTCACCGCGTCAGAGCTAGAACAGCAGAAGCTATGTCAAACCTTTGTGTGTTCAAGTGTTTTTATACTTTTCCTCGACTATTTAAAAAAGAAAATACAGAATTCAGGTTAAAAACCAGCCACCAAAATGGATCTCACAGATCTCACAACCCAGCCGGGATAGTATTCAGCTCTACTGCACGAGGACCGCTGGCAACCCTTACGGTAATCCACTTAATCCCTTCCAAGTACTAAACAGTGAGTTGATTTTTTACAATAAAAAAGCTGAGTAATATTGCATAGGAGTACCAGAAACTGCCTCATTGGAAACAAAAACTATTTACATTAAATAAGAAACCTAACTGTTTTCAGGCTTGGATTTGCCACATTTACAGCATGATGCAATATATACTGTGACAAAAGAAATGAAAACAGCTTCCGGCACTCGATACCACAAAGTAGCACAGTTTGCCACATTAGAGTAAAGCGAAGGGCGAATAGGAGGAAATAAGAGGGAGGGGTGGAAAAAGAGGGAAGAGGAAGGTTTATGGTTTCATTTCTGGTTTCGGAGCTGATTGGACAACCAGTCCAGTCCTTCATAGAGACCGTCTCCGCTAGTGGCACAGGTTGCCTGGATGTACCAGTTCCTGTGACGAAGAGAATGCAGTCCAAGTTTGTCTGTGATTTCTGCTGCATTCATCGCGTTGGGCAGGTCCTGGGGGGAGGAAGAAGAGTCATTTTCTCTCCTAGCACCAGAGGAGGAACGCTCACCTTCCTAACAGTTTGATCATCAGTTTCAAAGCCATTTAAAAAAAATAAAATCTAAAGCTTCTCAATTCATCTTTCAGAAAAACCCAGAATTTTTATATTCAAGCTATTTTGCCTATACCAAAGTTTTCAAGGGTTTAAAAACATAACCAAGAGCATTGCTGGCAGCATCACCAAATACTGCCTTCAGGAAACAGAAGCAAACTGGCTGACGCTTGGATCCAGCCCCCAGGCCCTTCTGATCTGCCCCCAGCCTGCTTACAGCTCACGGCCCTTTCATTCACTTTCCACTCAGGAAGTGTTTTCTGCAACTGCAGTAATGATTTCACCTCAGTTTTTATCACAAAGCACTCGGCTGAGCGCTGCTTCTGTTTATAGCCCGCCTTTCGTGTTCCTAAAACGGCTCGCGCAGGTTTTTTGCCCGTCACATCCGAGCCTGCACAAGCGACATCGCAGCACGCTCTTCCCTCTCTAAGCTCACTTACAGAAGGCGCCCTGCAGATACACAGAGAGGAGTTTGAGAGGGTTTGTTGTCTTCTGCATAGCTGAAGAGACACTTACTGAGCGTATCTATTACACTGAAAACACAAATCTGAGCTCACTCACAGATATATCCCACGTTTTCAGGGTTTCTTACAAAGACACCCTCCTCGGGCATACCTGTTTGTTAGCAAACACTAATAAAACGGCATCTCTAAGCTCATCTTCTGCCAACATTCTCATGAGCTCTTCTCTGGCCTCGTTCACTCGTTCTCTGTCATTGCTGTCAACCACAAAAATCAGACCTAGGAGCAAGCAAAGAGTGGGAATAAGCACACACCGAATACTACTGCCAGGGGACACCTGCTGCTGGAGATCAGAGCTAAGCTTTGAAAGAATAATGCAGAATACACCTGAAAAAACACAGTTTATGTTATTGCAATCTCACGTCTGAAAGCCTGCTGCTGTTGAGAGCTGGTGAAAGTGAGTAGCTCACCGCATTTGTGTTTTTGGAGCTCGTGTGCTTTATCTACATAACTGCTCGATACTTTCCAACGAGTAGCAACTCTTGAAATCCTGTGACAGGGCTCGAACGCACACACACTACAAAGGCAGAGCAGTGGAAGAAGTGACAAGCTCTCAGCTCACGGGGCTGTTGAAGTTTGTAGGAACTGACAAGCAGTAAAGGCTGCTTTGAAGTGCAGGCTGAGAGCGACGATGCTTATAGAGGAAGAGCAGAAATTGTGAGTTCTGATTCTGATGGACAAGATTGGTCTCTACATTTCCTTCCAGCCCTCTTTAAACAAGCAGGAGCTTAATATAAGAGGCACACAAACACACCCTGTTGTAACCTGTACTCCCCACTGTCCCAAGAAGCAGACAAGATTATTATAGCACGGACACTAGAAGCTTTATATCCTGAAAACCCGTGAATTAGGCGTCAGGACTCACCTTGTGTGTTCTGGAAATAATGGCGCCAGAGCGGTCTGATCTTATCCTGGCCGCCGACATCCCACACTGTGAAGCTGATGTTCTTGTATTCTACCGTTTCCACATTGAAACCTAAAATAGAAATTGTGGCAAAGTCCTGGTTAAACATAGGTGGCCTGTACCTGTTTTATTTACCAAGTCACACTCAATGTCATTACTAAAAATGTTAACCTTAAATTTTAGATCTACTTTAAGCAGGCAGTCTCTCAATACATCCCTTGTAACAGAGGGATGGGGGTTCTCTAGAACTTCTAGAATCACCAGCCCATCACAATTAATGAACTTAACAGCTGGATTGCTACCTGAGCAGCTAAAAAAATTGCAGAACAAACTATATTATGTTGAAAAAAAGGCAACTCCAAGCTTCTGAGGAGAACAAATGATGCATGGCTCAGATATCCAGTTCTCAGCCAACTACCCGAGGCCACGGTGTGCCTTGAAGGCATGCAGCCCAACCTGCTGCAGGCCACGAAGGGTCATTCCCCAAGGGACTGAAGGAAAAAACAACAAAACCAGTGTAATCCCCTCCCATGCCGGAAGATTTGGCAGAGATTTGTTCACAGCATGGCTTCAGTCACGTTTGTTCTGGCAGCCAGGGCTCAGCACCCTTCCATCGGGGTGGCAGTGGGGTAAGGCACTGCTGCAAACGGGACCCAAACCTCAAAGCAAGCCTTTAAATACACGTAAAAGTCTTACCTATAGTAGGGATAGTAGTTACTATTTCACCAAGTTTCAGTTTGTACAAGATAGTAGTCTTTCCTGCAGCATCCAGACCAACCATGAGGATCCGCATTTCTTTTTTGCCAAAGAGGCCTTTGAAGAGGTTTGCGAAAATATTTCCCATGGCTGAGATATGTTTTCACTGGCCAGTGAAGTCTGGAGAAGAGAGACCACAGCATCACTCGTCAGTTACCAACGGTGTGCTCTGAGCAGGGCACAGCCACAAGAGCCCCAGGCCATACAAACCCCGAGAGATACCCCGACCCAAGCACAGGGTTTGTTCCCCACATGAAGTTTTCAACATGTTCTTCTCTTTTCCCTGTTTAGCTGTGCCTTCTTGGAGGAGGAAACTCCGAGTACAGCTTGGATTCCCTCCCACTCAAACAGTTTCCTTCCTCCCGAACCCTGAGGAAGTGCCCTGTGAACACAATCTGAGCACAATTGCTTTCATTAACGCCACCGACCTTCTTTACGGAGCAAATTCGTTGGTTTTGACACAACTACCAAAATTAAGAAGTCCACAACAAGAGCCAGGTTTAAGAACAGACACTTCTTTCTTCACTTTGGATCCCAGAATGTCCCGAGTTGGAAGGGACCCCCAAGGATCATCAAGTCCAGCTCCTGAGGCCCCGAAGGACCACCCCAAAATCAGACCACATGTCCAAGCGCCCTCTCCCAACTCTTTTTCTTGCTCACAAGCGACTGATGCCACCAGGAGCTCCCTGGCTAGGCACTGGGGCACCACCTCGCCCTGCCAGCAGCCACCGAGCCCTCGGGACGGGTCCACCCTTACCACCACTCCTCCACCCTAAACCTTCCCCCTGCAGAGTTGGAACCACCCAGAGCTGTCACTCTGCTTGCCCAGGAGAAAAATCAGCCCGAAAGCTTTACAGCCAGATGTAGTTGGGACATCACACACTTTTTTTTGCTGCTTAGTCTAAAAACTCAGATGTAAGCTGAAGAGAACAGACCAAGGCCAACTGAAACCCAGTGCTTGTTGTGTGCTTGAAACAGAATTCGCACTGCAGCGTATCTCACAGCACATCTGTGTGAGACAATTAGATAATATTGAAGTGAGAAGTGCTCTCCAGACCAAAATTTTGCCTTTTTAGCCCTCTGCTGCAGATTTCCCAAAGCTGGCTTCCTTGCTCAGCACTGGGGAAGGCCCATGCAGTTTGCTGGGACCAATTTTTAACCCCGAAGTTAAGCCTGTGCCACGAAGCGAGTCACGTGCCTGAGAGCAAAGCAGCCTCGCAGCGAGGTCCAGAGTCCACTCCAAAGTTCCCGACTGACATCAAGCACTGACTCGCTGGAGGAACTCGAGTCACAGATTCGTTTATTTTATGTGACTGAAGTTCAGCAGGATTGAAACTTCAGCACTGAGCTCCTCTCTAACCCAGGCACAGCAGCATGTGGATGAAAACCAAGTGAAAAATTTAGACGTAAAATTCCATGATTAAACCATTTCCGTTGCATTTCTGAAGCAGCATGGGGAATATTCACCTGCCACTTCCATCTGTGGAAGCGATATAAACAGGAAAGTTGAGGAGGAAGCAGAGAAGGCAGCTCTGCCCCAGTCCCTGTTTATCCAAGCCGCTCACACAGCCGCAAACCAACACAACGCCCCTCCTGGGACACGCTCCCTGCCTGAATTTGTCACTTCACACCACGAGGAAAAGCCCCTCGAGTTCCTTCCTCTCCTCCTCGAGGACATCCTCAGCCACACTGGCACCAGAACCCGACCTGCAGTCCAGGGCTCTGCTTTTCAGCAGCGTGTCTGCCTCGTTTCAGCCTGTTAGCTGGACCAGGA